CTGCACAGCTATGGAAATCCTTGTGGAAGCCTCACAGCATTTTACGTATTTCGTCTCCAATCGCTTTGCACCGTTTCATTATCAATAGTGAAGACAATTAATTTATTTTGTCCTTGTCTCTGATTTAAGCTCACGTGATGATTAGAAGGCACAAGGATTCTTTGTTCTGTGATCAACAGAGTACCGTGATACATGTCACTGCTGTGCTAAATACTGGGTGATATCTCTATTCGCGCAGGTGTTCCGGACTCCCATACGAGCTCCCTCGAAAGTCTTCTGCTACACTGGTTATTAGAAGAAAAAAGTCGTATGGAGAAGAGCCCGTCTTCAGAAGCTAAACAACTGCTAAGTTAATAATGAAATTCGCCACTTTTTATGAAACCCATACATTCATTATCGTCAAGTTCGTACTGCAACATCTTTTTGTGTTATGTAACACATTGTGTACCTTCGTAAGGTTAATTATAACTTCACAAACGTAGCCGTCTTCTGCGTTGTTGCGCCGTGCTGTCTGGTAGAAGTTTACCGACGTTTCAGAGATCGTTGCTGCCTCCATCATCAGGGCAATCCAGACTACAACCCAAAGACAGTCATCTTCGCACTCAGCGACATGAGAAACCCCACTCCTACATACTACAACCTTGTTCAATTTGCAGTCACACTACAATTTTCAGCGCCTACTGCATCAATGTTCTGTTGTACCAATAAAGCCGGTTACTTGTGCCACCTTTCAATGTGGTAATTGTTTTGTAACAGCGACTGAACATCGAACTGGTTGAACTATCGTGTTGACATGAGCCCGCCACTATTAAAGACCTTCAAGATAACATTTATATAGAGTAAACTAAAATCTCTGGTATTACAAATAGCAAATAATTGCCCGCCGTTAGACCTGGTCTTCAGCAACGTTTAGTTTATTTGGTAAGTGGCTCTAGTTCGTATTAGCTTCCTGCATAAAACTGTGGGTATCTTTTCAATTGGTGTGACCAGTTCTGGACGGAAGTTCATCCTGGTCTGAGGTCAAAGAATACCAGCAATGGCTTCGTCACTAAAACAGACGAGTTGCTGCGTCATCCTTCGTCATAAAATCGTCTAAATTACGTGCCTTTTTTATAAATAAGGCTAAATAATGATGGAGACAACAGAGGTGTTTACGTTACTCAAGGTCATCTTCTTTCCAGGGTCTGACTCACTAATCGCGGAAGAACACTACAAACTGGTCTTTCCCATCTCATTTTAACTTATTTCGTTTACGCAGCTTCCGGTATACTCATCCTAGACGCTTCGTTCCCAGTGGGGTGGAACACTTATTTGTGCTAATATTATGCTGATTGCCCACTGTTTGAGTTGTATTTGACATAAACGTTTCACCAACTGGCTCTTCTACCGTCAGGCGTGACGTTCTAAATCTGATTTTGTAATTTTTCGGACAAAGACACTTCAATTATTTCAAGGGAAATAAAAATTGAGATGTGTTGCGTGTTAGTGTTCTGAAAATTTCATTAGTAGAACACAGAAAAGTAATTTGGATTCGTCAGATTACGTAAATAAAGGACTGTGTATCATCAACGTTTCAATGAACCAAAATTACTGTATACATTGCTTTCAATACTCCAATGCGGCCTGCAGGTTAACGTTTGCAGACTCAGATTTAGGTTAACAAATATTAGGTTCACAGTTTTAAAGTTCCCGCAAATTAGGATGTTGCCATGAAAAACAAACAAACAAACTTTTGTCACTAAAGAAGAACTCTGCATGGAAACGTTACTCTTTGCATCAACAAGTAAAGCTCAACTTCACTTACCTGGTTTGACGACATATTGTTCAGCATCTCTCCCGTCCACCATCTTCGTTGCACCTGAAGAAAAAATAAGCAAAGTTCAGGACGTTTCTCACGAACGTAATGTAGCAGAACGTACACACTAGTTTCTGTACAACGAGAAGTCGATGCGGTGTGGGTCTTAACGTTGAGCTATTACCTCAAATAGGCCACGACCGCTTTCCACCACATCTTTACCGATAATCATCCCACCACAGAGCTCAGACACATCTGAATGACAAGAGATCGATTCCCGGCAGGAAACACACCAAGCCAATTAGAACTGAGGGATCATTCCTTGAGATAAAATGGAGAGAGTTTAATGAAAATCGGTCAACTAGACAAAAAAGTTGATTGGGGAACACACAAAAATCAAGATGATCATGCAAGTTTACTTTATAAAAATAATGGAAACTGGGCTAAATAGAAAACCAGACTGTTTTGTTGCTTGGCAACCATTAAATTCATAACGCGATCATGATGGTAAATTGGAATATATATTTAGTAGATTGTCACAGAAATTTCGTAATTTAATTGCTTCACAACACTCTGCTTGAAAATTCAGTCTAAGAAAGAGCGCTAAAAGGGGATATTTGGGCCTCCTTGCATAAAATGGAATTTGTATCAACAGCAACGGTACCGTAAAGTGGTCTGTTCGGTTACAGATTCTTAGAAATCACTTATTTTGCGTCATTATCAATATGTACAGTGATATGGACGCTAAACTTTGCTGTACCATAATAATTTGAGTCATCGTGCCATCTATCCTACACATTGGAACTACGACCCTCGCGGGGGAATAACAAACTACTTTCTTTTAATACAACTGAAAAAAAAAAACAGACAGCAGACGAATTTTCATTTAGTTTGACAACTAAACATAAAGTATTACAAATTTAGTGGACAGAAATGCCATCAGTAACAAGCGTAGAGATTATCTACAGTAACTATACTCAAGGTCAAACGTCCAGAATGAATTTTTAATGTGATTCAATACTGGAAGTCACATGACCAAGTTGATATCACTGGTTTCTACTTCACAGCAGTGAGGGAAATCCCAGCTACAGCATTCAGCGAGGTAACATGATGTTGGAAAGTCGAAGGTAGACTACAGTGGGCTATGTAATGAGGAAGACGAATTCTTTTCGGGTTTTTTCGTAGTGGATATGCATTAGTCGACATCCGGGAATTTTCTTTTGCAGCAGTAGACTGACTAGTAGTCTGCATCAGAAAGTGCACGAAGCAAGTTGCATTCAAAGTGTAAAAGAAGCAATTTCAGGCGTTGTAATCTGAATAACTGGCAGCAAAGTAAGTAAGATTTAATGACAGCCTTTCCAAGTGAACTGAATTCTGCAGAATGTGTAACAGGGCGAAATTTCAATGAATAAAGTGGACGTAAAAGAAGACTGTGTGTGCTGAGTTTGGAGCTAGTGAATAGATCTGGATCATACTACATACAGCCTGCATCAAAAGTTCGTAGAGTTTTTTTTTATGAAGTTCAGATTTAACTTTAGGTTTCTTAAAAACTGCTACAATGTGTCGGTACAACGTGTATCTCATGTTAATACAGTATCTTTGGGGGAAGATTTTGTTAATCCTGACGATATTTCAGGTATAGAATACATTTCAAAATTACGGTATTCTGATATTTCAGTTTACAGCGTAATCATACTACTTTCAGGCCAAATTTCACAAGTTCAGCCAATAAGGAATTTCGGCATCGCTATCTTCCTGCAACTTTTTGCGTTTTCCATTTTTTCCTTCTCATTTACGGACGAAATATTAGGGAAATGAACAGCAATTATGATTTTGTCGCTTGTCTTCAAATGTGTAAATAACACGTACCTTTCCACATATTAATGGAACAATTTTGTTGGCAGAGCCACCTACCGGCAGAATTAGGAACTACAGCAAATGTTGGCACAGCTACGTACCGCAGACGTTTTGTAAAAGCACGACCTCATGTAGCATGGAAACGTTTTTGTTGTGGCGAGATAAATAGAGTGTCAAATTTTGTGGAAACATTCAACTCGGCGTGCTGCCGGGTACATGCCTGCAGTCATACAAATTTGTGATTTTAAAAAGGCCTTATTTTGCTGGGGTGGAATATCCATATGAAGGGGTGTTCACCCTTTAAAGACTGAGACACAGTAACTGGAGATTTAATTTGAAGGACCACATGATGCCCACTGTAATTCCAAATAACATATTCTTATTGTCGTAAGCTTATTAATATTGTTATTCAACTTAATGGAATAAATCAAGTTGCACAGGCCCCAAATACATCTTACAGTTCATTTAATACCAGGAATAATAATAATAATAAATTAAAACGCGTAGTATTTGATTTTCACTGACATTCCAGAGGCGTTCTTCTTACATCACATAGTTATTGTTGCGATAATACAATCACAGGTTATTGTTGCGTAACTATGTTCAACAATCGAGACTTCGGTTCCCATGGACAGACCCAAAAGTGGTCTGTGCTCCCCATGAGCGTGAAGAATACGTACTAATAATGCACACAGTAATTTCAAATTGTTTAAAGCGTCACTGCAATGACTGGCCCAAAGGCGACATTGTCTTGACAAGTCCCTTTGTAATATGATTATTAACACCTGTAAGTATATTCCTGCAGACGTGGCTTATTTACAAAACGAGATTTTACCGGACCTGGATAAGGAACCGTGGCATAAGTAGAGGGGCAATACTTTAGATTTGTGTTTTGAGAGATACCGATTTGAGTATCGGCCAGGCTATCGACTATCGTGACAATTGTTTCTTGGTTTTACTCAATATTTTGGGATCGATAATACCGAGGTCTGCCGGTGCACAGCATGGGCGCAGACTACGTGGGTGCCCTGGGGCGCTGGCATCTACTGAACAATTTTAAGGGGTACTAAGCACCCCTCTGAAGTTACCTTCATTTAACTTTACACTATGCCCCCATAATTACTTTTAATCAACATAAGTAGGTACTCATTTGGGCCTAGACATTTTTTTGTTGAACATTAAGTTTTCCATAAAACTTCTAGCCTCCACACTCCGGATAGACATTGTTCTTTGTCCAGTTTTTTTGTTTGCATTATAAGGAGTATGGCACAGGATTTGTGAATGCCAGTTTGGTATAATATAAATCAACAACACTTGCATGGTTTTGGATATAATTTGGTGGAAATTAATTTCATTTGTATATTTATGGTTTCCTTAATGATGTTAGTAGCTCAGAGTATATAGTGTAAAGTGAAAGGATGATAAAAGAACAAGTTTTAAAAGGGTCTTCGTTATGCCACATCATCAGCAGGACAACCAAAAGACATGACAAATGCAATAATGATAGCAAAGGTAAAAGGTCATTGTTGTAACAGTGATGAAAGACATGGCAGACATGGATGGGCCCATATGGTGTTATTCAGTTGCATTAAAGAAGCGCCCAATTATGAATTGGCTAGAGTATGGAAGAAGCTTGTCACAGTGTAATTTAAGGTACTATCTGCACATGTGCATGGAGAAAATTAATTTTAATTTGTTTCAGAATGCTGAATGAAGTTCTCCGCTATCATAAACCTGACACATGGGACAGTGTGTCTTATGGTCAACAGCGGTACCGAAAAGTCCAAGTGTTTGGTGAGGAATATGACAAGATTGCAGGCAAATTCACACCTGAACTGAGAACACATGTTCAGATGATTTATCGTGTACAGAACCCCTACTTATACGGACGATATAAATTAAAAGTTGAACAACTTCAGCTCAAGGGGCAAGTTTATGAGGTGTGTACTTTACAAGTATAATGAAAGATAATTGAAATATCCCACCCCCAAGATCGAGACCTGAATTCCCTATTAGATAGAAACTGTCTATAACAGGGAATTGGGTTTTTTTGCACGTCCGTCTCTTGATGGTACCAAATGAACAATGATAAAAACAAATGAAGTTTGTCAAAATGTCACTTTCAAATTTCTTGTAGTTCAGGGCTGTCCTAAAGGTGCAAAGGGAAGAGCTTAGACATGACTTAACTTTGGCCTGAAAGTAATTCCATTTTTCAAAGACCAGTAAATATTTCTTGTTATTATTTAAAGTCTTCTCTTTGTGTGTTTCAGTAATACAAACTCAGTTTGTTCACGTTCTAAAGCAGTTTTTTCAAAATCCTTTTTATACATAATATCAGTTAATTTAAATGTTTTATACACTATATTTTAGAATATTAACATAGCAGGGGACTTGACAAAGGCCCAACTTTCAAAAGAGACTGGGACTCACCTATCCTCCTACCAACAGGGTAAAGCATGGCTGGGGCGTGATGCTGACCTCTCACACCCCCATTTATGCCAAGGTCAAGAATGAGTAGGAGTTATACCTCCTCTACCCAGGATATGCTGTAATATTGTGTTGTAAGAGAGCTTTATTTTATATAATAAGATGATCCATATCTGATTTAAGCACAGTTATATGTTGTTCCCATGTACCTACACCCTGAAATATAAGTGAGCAATTATTGAATTATATTTTTAAAGTTTATATATTCATTACATAAATTGAAAGGGATCCGCAGTGGCCGCGCTGTCTGAGGTGTGGGCCTTGTGCCGCTTGGTCGCTGGGACCATGGGTTCGAATCCCACTCAGGCCATGGATGTTTGTCCGCGTTTTTCTGTGTTGTGATGTCCTGGGTACAGGTAGAGGCCTTGCGATGGGTCGATCCCTCGTCCAAGGAGTCCTACCGAATGTCTATAGATCAAGCCAACTAAAAGTTGGGACCCGCAGTGCTCAGGCACTTGAAGAACGGGTTGTTCCCAGTATAAATTGAAAGAAACTCCGTACTTCATTAATTTTTCATAACAAATTTAAACCATATTACGCTAATTTTTAAAATATTGCAAAAACAGACAAGGTTCACAATGAAATTAAGAGAACTTATTTCTAAGTGATTATTTTATTATTAATGCTCATAAACTATCTTCATTTTACTAATTTCCAAAGCATTGAAATATGTATACCACACATAAAGCAGTCACTTTCCTATTTGTTTTGTTTCAGAAACAACTGGGTTAATGAATCATAGTTTATTTTACATACTCTTGAAGTGATTAACTTTAAAGTAGTATTTTCATACCCAATTGAGCCGCTTATCTTTAATCCCAAGCCATTTTACTGGATATTCAGTTAAAAATATCATTAAATTATCTGAATATGTATTAAGCCCCAAATAGGTTCTTGTATCTCCACTAGTTTTGTTAATTTCTTATGAATAAGGATATAACCTGTTGTCAGCATCCTGATATCCATGTGAACTTCTTTGTGGCAGAAGAATATCTGCGTTATCCACATTTCATTACTAGCAATGAACACTTTTATGACACTTCCATTTTTATTTAATTTTTCCTTCCATGTCTTAGGTTGATTACCCAGGGTAGCATTAAAATCCACTCCTGCTATGACACCTATTTTATCAAAATAATACATTGTATAAAAGTTTAAAATTACTTTCTTCCCTTTTCTGGGGGCATAAACAGTAGTTATACTTAAGTGCCCTCTTGTCACTTTAATTCTTAAGGTAATTATAAAGTTATAGCTATGAACTCTCTGTTTTAAGAGTATTGCAGAACAAAATATATTTGTGCAGATTTTTTTTTTTGAGACTACTACTACTACTACTACTACTACTACTATGTCAGTTGCAACATTTGTGATTCTTCTTCAACTTCTGGTTCGTTACGGGAAAGGCATTTTACATTCCCAACATCAATCTTAAATCTTCCAGTAGTTCTTAAGCATTTGTTCCTACCCCTTGCAGCTGTGATTTATATTTGGGTACGTAACCGTCTTCTGGGTGGTTGTGCTGTGTAGTCACATAGAAGTTTACCAATGTTTCGGAGGTCTTTGCATCCTCTGTCATCACCCTAATGATGGAGGTAGCAAGGACCTCTGAAATGTCTGTAAACACCCACCAGATACATAGCGCTACAGCTCAGAAGACGGTCATCTTCGTACTCCCTGCAGTGAAAACTTCAAATCCTACTTGATTTATATTTGATACATCTAGCTACGGTTAGTCTGAGTAAGAAATATATTTTGCAATTATGGCTCTTAGTTTTGAGTTTTGATTATGATTATTAAGAACAACAATAATAAGACTTAACCTCCAGTTTCTTGTGATAAGGTTAGTTATCTATATTTGTAATCTGTTAACCCATATTGGAATTTTTTATTATGTGTGTCCAGGAAACGTATTATCATCCAATATATGAGGATGACATGAATGTTGTCATGGAATACAACTGTGATTTTAGACGTTACACACATGCATCCAATGTGCAGCATGATGGGAAGAGGCCAAGATTTTATAAGTCTGCTGAAATGGCAGAAAGAAATTTCACCAGCAGCAATAAGGCGCTTGTGGTGGTAAAAGTTGTTTCTACTGACATATCTTCCTCTTCTCATTGCTACAAAGCCTGGGACACTGAATATTACCCAGAATATATAGTTGTTTTTACTCATTAGCGATTTGATATAAAGACAAAGAAGGTTGTAACCAGGTGTGACAACAGAATTTTAAAACACTGGTGCACAAACTTATTTCAAGCTAAAATTGGTCATGGTTGAGTTCATGAGCAAAAGCACTTACTATTTTGATGTGGATATTCGAGAGTGTATAAGAAGGCCTTTTTTTTGTCATTTTATATGTATTAAAAGAAAAACATGGCTAAATTGTGATGGTGCTAGCTTAAGCCAAGAAAGGTGCACTTTTGTATAGTTTTATAGGATTAAATGTTCAAACAAAATGGATTTTAGATTTTTACTTTAATATGGAATGTGAAGTATTTTTCCATAATTAGTAATGTTAGTAAATGTAAGTAGCAGTTCATGATTAGCTTATTACTGCATGTCTCATGAATAGTAATCAGATAATAAGGGAGATGCAGATTAATTTTATTTAAAGCAATTATTTTCAGTTAAGTTCCTTGTGATCAAAGAGAGAGGTTGGTTTTGTCTTCTGTAAATCATAATTGTAAAATGTCATACTGTATCAGTGACTTGTTTGTTATTTTAAATGTCACTTCTAAGTCCTCGAAATGAAAACTGAAATTAAAAATAAGAATTTTCCTTTAATATCATGGAGCTCCTTGTGACCCTATGCTATTTAATGGTGATAGTGCAATGTGACAATATGTGAAAACATTAAAAAGAAATATCTGAATTTTCATATTGTGATAATCAAGGTCCTGAATTTGAAGCCAGTAAAATCAACAAGTTGCATTCTATGTTTTTTAACACTAAATATAATTATTTTATACTGATAGTGAAAACTAAGTAAAATATATTTATCATTTAATAATATTTGCTTGTTTTAAATGCTACTAAAATATACTATAGTCACTACAACTTCACAGCAAAACTTGTTACTTTGTTCAAGTACACTAAATATGTTTCTAGAAAATTTACAGACAGATTTTTTTTCCTTTGTTTAATTTCAGTTCATGTTCTGCAGTGTGTTCTGAGATGAAAACAGAACTACGTTCAGGATTTCAGTTTGAAAAGACAAAAAGAGAGGTTAAGAATCTATGTTTTTATATCACCATCAAGTGATCAGTTATGAATATTTTCACTTGGCCTTCGCAAGCTAAATGTGATCAGAAAGTACATCAGAAGAACAATGCCAGTACTGTGTATTTAGTTAATCAGCTCTTTTTTAAATATATATTGCACTAGCATTATGATGAGTGCAACATCTTAATAGTGTTGTGTAGTAGTACATTGATTTCATTCAGTAGTTGTTTTTGCAATTTGGTACAAGGAAAATCTGAGTGAGTTTGATTACCCTGTCATCCAAAGACTGAAAAAATGATTTCATATGTGTTTTTTAAAGTTCTCAATAAAAATGAATAAATGATACATTTGTATTTGCTAAAGTTCTTGTACATAATATGATTAAAATTACTTTTCTATTTCTGTCTTAAATAGAACTTACCAATTATGATTCATGGTGAATAATTATCTTACTTATGAAAGACTGATATTTCTACCTTTGAAAATAACCTTATTTCTAGTATGAATTACAGCATGAAAACTGACATAAAACTGGGTAACCATTAAGGATTCAACATTTCAAATTACGAAGTTAAGGATAAATGACAATTTATTATGAAAATTTTCATTTGCCTTGTGTAACAGTACACACATCTATGATTTGGAAAGTAAACAACTATATACTTTTTACGCGGTCAGAATTGGAGGGTGGGGTTCATTTGTACGTCGCTACGCACACCATGCTATAAATAGACCTATCTACGCTAGGGACATGGGATAAATGCGAAGCTGATTAAAGTAATATTAAAGGCACAACATAACACTAGCAACAACATGCAAACTGCTTAATTATTACCTGACCCACCCGTGCGGAGAACAACAAAGATGTTCCCAGAAGAGCTATCACAATGAAACACGCCGCCGCCACAAATTGGATACTGGACGCAGGACCAGTCTCAGTAAACAAGTAACATTGCAGTGGCGTGCAAGAGAAAGTATGTAATTCCTATCACTTTATTGTAGCAGTCTCTAAAGATAGGAATGAATGTCCATTCTTTCATATCTTGTCTAAATTCGTATTAGTGGCGTATGAAACTAGCAAGAAGTACATTCCACATTAATAAAAATAAAAATGTATGCAAATAAAGAAATATTTCTGGGCTGTAGTACATGTTTTGCTTTACTGAAGAGGGTGAGACCAGACGAGTATTTTTCAAGGTACTTGTGAAGGGGCGGGAATTATGGTACAAGAGTATTACGAAAAAAGTATATTAAGCTACATTTGATCTTACATTCGTGTACTTCACGGCAGTAAATGCTACTTGTTTAGAACACATTAATCAGTATGAGTAGTGTTTCACGAAAAGGCGCGATATCTGCAGGTGTAAAACAAGTATTTCGTGCGGTTCGGTGCCGTTCGTGGTACTGTGTTGAAAATGTGGAATAAGATTCCTTGTGCTAGGTCGGAATTGGAGCTTTTGTTTACCTTATGTGGAGGGCAGTGCTTCAGGTAGGCATTGTGACAAAAAAAACCCGGTGAATTATCAGCAGTAATTTGAAGGACGCACCTGCCGCATTCCGTAGAAAGGATGTTAGGTTATGTTATCGTGGGTTCCTTGAGATTGATTACAAGAAGGTTATCAGTGATTATGAAGGTGCTTGGAGGCGTTCAAACAGTTACTTTGTCGATATTTTCATGACGTGGAAGGAGTGAGATAGGAGATACTCCTTTAGTGGTGACTTAAACTTCTTTATATCTTGATTCACACTTTTTGGTAGTGGGGGGGGGGAAGATTACTAATTATCTTAATTCCAGTATAGTAAAATCCTTTCTGATATTTACCAAATATAGTGATTGACACTTGAAGGGTTTTTCTGTGTCTTGTACCTATTGTGGATATCTGAGTTTGACATGTTTCTGTTGACCTGTAGAAATTATTATAATGAGAGCAAGAATTCACTGGCTAGTGGAAGAATATTAAATTTCTTAAACAATTCTCTGCATGAGGCTCCCCCTTAAGTGCCTGTCATTATTCTAATGATTTTCTTTTGGACATAAAATACTTTCTTACTGTCTGTTTAGTTTCCCCATAAAATAATTCTATATGACAACAAATGGAAGTTGGCAGGGTAGCCAAATTTTAAAATTTCTGTTTTCATAAATGATTTGACAGTCCTCATAGCAAAGCATGATGAGCTTAGTTAGGCATAATGTGTTGAATATTTTTTGCCAATTTAAGTTACTATTTGAAGTCTAAAAAACTAGTTGTTTCTACTTCTTCAATTTTTTTATCCACATACCCTATACCTAGATTAACACAATTTTTATTGGTAGTACAAAATTTCATAAAATTAGTTTTATGTTTAAATGATGTCCATTTAAAAATGTGGTTACAGAATGTTGGAACATTTGTGAACACTTAAGGTACTCTAATCTGTTGTTTGTTGCTGCTTATTTCAGATGGAAAAGGACTGGTGACTGTGAATGGACTGGGGTATTTGCTAATCGTGTCTGGACATTATCACAGAATAATGAATCTATTTTGTACCGGGTAACAAAGTGCCCTGGACTTGAAACTAGTGATGAAATAACACGTAACACAGGGAAGAGTAATTCTCGAGTTCAGTCAGTAGCAAGAAAAGGGAGATCAATGAAGAAGCCCATGTGTGAAGTCACATATACTGAAAATGATAAAATTGGTGATACAACTAAGACCAGATCTGATCAGAGCTCTTTAGAAGATGATTTACTAAGAAAGTATTTTAGGCTAGATGTATCACTTGAAGAACATTATGCACAGTGGTCAAAGAAGGATCCACACTTCATGGAGGCTGCTGAGAAGTTTACTGGGGTGAGGATTCTCTCTCAGGACCCAATTGAGAATCTCTTCTCATTCATCTGTTCATCCAACAACAACATTGCAAGGTTTATTGCAGCATTTAATTGGTATTTTTTGCCTTTGACCAGCTGAACTTAATATGTTACCATGTAGAAGTGCTGGTGTATTAGGATGCACAGACATCACGTATAAAGAATTGTTTCTTAGATGGCTGTCTTCTGGTTGTAGCACTGTATAGTTTGGTAGAAGTTTACCAACATTTCAGAGGTTCTTGATGTCTCCATCGTCGGGGCAATGATGGAGGCAAGGACTCACCACCATGAAAACCTCAAATCCCAATTGTTTCTTAATTCAGTGTCTTTCATAGTCTTTTCAGTAGGGTCAGTTGGAAGGCTTATTGTCCCCTGCTGGAGTGGCCCTGCTACAGTGACTTTACCTTTACTGGCCTGCCCTACACACACATCATACTGCTCGACAGTTAACCATCCATTGAAAAAATAGTACACATGAATGATGATAAAAATAAAAGTAGAGTCTGAGGTGAAAATGTTTTTGAAAAAACAACAACTAATTTTTGTTTTCAGAATGATACAGTGTATGATTTAAAGATCAATATATTACATGTGTATGTGGTTTTAATAAGTACTAATATTTTTTGCAGAATCTCATCCATGGTTGAAAAACTGTGTGTTCTGTATGGAAATAAGATTGCTGATGTCAGTGGTACAGAGTATTATGGCTTCCCTACATTGGCTGCCCTCACAGACCCATCAGTGGAGAAATCACTACGAGATGCTGGATTTGGATACAGGGCCAAATTTATTAACCAGTCAGCATGTAAAATCATGCAAATGGGTGGTTCTGATTGGTTAGATTTCTTACAGAGTTTGTCCTATGAAGAAGCTAAGGTGGAACTAATGAAATTACCTGGAATTGGTGCAAAGGTATGCTGTTATATCTACTTCTTAAATACTTTGAGAATAAAGTGACAAACCAGGGATGTGATACCTTATAGGAACATTGAGAACAGCTCTGGGGGTCACCTGACCTCTTGTCCAGCGTGCACCATGGGCTCTTTCTCTAGCGTTAAAATACCTATTGTGTGAGACTCAACAGTTCACCTTCATTTTGGTACCAAGGTGGAGATGCACGGGGCTTTATATTCACTCTACTTCCACTTAAGTATAGGGACATGGTCCCCTGTATCATTACCATAAATGTGGTCTCTTATTGTAAGGGAAGGACATTTATTTTAGAACAGGATGCTCTGGTACAGTGGACGTAGGCTATAAATGAGGTTTATACAAGATGTGCAATGTGAGATGTAACCAAACAACAGTTGCATACCATGGTACAAAAATGAAATTATAAATAGGATGACCTCCATGTAATAGACACCCCCCTCCCCCAAATGATACTTGAATGAAGATCACCCTCTTTCCTAGGCCACTGATCATGCTACTTACGCAAAAGCTGTGCATGTGTGAACATGATATATTTACAGGCAGTTCATGTGTTCATTCTTGAATATACTTTGCATCAAAATTGTTAGTTGTTGTTTATGAAGCATTTAGTAGTGCATTTCAGATGGAAGTAGCAAAGAAACAACAGTTTCAGGACACAAAGAAGTGCTCACTGAGTGATGTAACAGCTGCAATTACAGTTATACTGATTTCAAACAGTGCATCAGCTACAACAGGGGGACATGACTGTAAGAATCCAGTTTTGCCATTGGTTTGTCATTGTGTGCTTGAAGGGGTTCATGTATAGTAGTTAGGATTGCTTTCTAAATGGAACATGAGTGAGAGAATTGCATACAGAATGTTGATAGGGAAACCTTTTGGAAAGTGGCCACTTAGAAAGACCAAGAAGGTGATGAGAAAATAATATTAGGATAAATTTTGGGGAAACAGGCTGTGGAAATGGAGGGTGGATGGAAACTGGCTGTGGATAATGTCCAGTGGTGGGCTTTGATATCAGTGGTTTGGAACTTTTGGGCCCTACGAGTCAGCACTCTTCCCTTTCTGTTAATGGTTACTGAACTATAACATTCACATGGATCTGTGTGATTGCTTTACAAGAATTTATAATAGGTATGTATCTGGAAGCATAGGAAGTTTGATCTAGAATAGTAACATACTGTTTACAGGTTTAAAAGCATGTGCTAAAATGGAAGGGAGAAGATAATAATTTGTATGGCTACTTCATAAGATGTTGGTTAAAATATTAGAATTTTCAAGATGTCTATGAGTTAAAATCCTTTCAAGTTATTAAGTAACCTTGGAGGTAGAATGAAGCTTTCTTGTTGCACGTTTATTGATATTTGTTGTGTAATCAGTCAGCAGAGGATTATCATGCTGAAGGGATCCCAGATTGACTATATCAGTGGAGAAGTATGACATTTTAAGACAGCAAAAATATACTTCTCATGCCAGTTGGAGTTCTGCTTATGTAGAATGCTATGTCAGAAGATGTGACTTATTTGTTGGAGGATTTATATATTTAAATGGAGTGGACTATGTGAATGTAGTTACCAACAGAATGGTGTAGTCAAACTGAACCACCTAAAGATGACCTACGATTGAAACATGATGTGTATTTTTAATAAACATTGAGACTATACTCATAAAACTTGTGTAGATGGACTGTCAAACTAATGATCAACATTCAACAGGATGCATTCCTTAAAACTCAGTTTATACATGTTTCATTTTATTACAGGTAGCAGACTGTATTTGTCTTATGTCACTTGGACACTTAGAGGCAATTCCAGTTGACACTCACATCTATCAAGTAGCAGTTCAGCGCTACTTGCCTCATCTTAGAGGTCGCAAGACAGTCACAGATAAAATGTATAATGAGATAGGAGACCACTTTAGAGCTTTGTATGGTTCTTTAGCTGGATGGGCACATACAGTGAGTATTACATGTGAAAATGTTTCTCACCTTTAGTGGGAAACTTCTAAAATTTCATACTGTTACCAAATTATGCGAATAATAAATTTGATAAAAAGTGACATGTAAACAGGTGACCTAAGACGGATTACAAACATCTAAACGTGAAGAGGAAGATAGCCAAAGAGTGCATGCTTTTTATCCTAGAATATATAGTGATTAAAAACATAAATGAACAGTAGATTATTCCCCCCCCCCCAACTATTGTTAATGACAAGTCATACTGAAGTTTTCAAAATGGGTGTTTCAGCATTATTTTATCTGCCTTCGGTGTCTGATAACCCCATCAGTCTTTCTGTTTCATGTATGTAAGTTTACCAGTACAGTGAATTAGTGTCACTTTGGAAGAACAGTTAACTCCATGGTGTAGAATCTTTGTTGACATGTTGATAGTTACTTAGCTGTGCCTTATTTTTATGGAACTTCTAGGTTCATAACTGCTTTCTTGATAAAAATAGACAATTTTACTTTTTTCTATGAAAACAACTTGGTAAGAAGGTATGTATTTGAAAATTATATTTACCAATAATTGGTTTTCTGTTTTCAGATTCTTTTCTGTGCTGACTTAAAAATGTTCCAGGATTCTGCTAAACAAAAACTGGGCTTACATGATATAAAACCTCAAAGAAAGAAAAGAAAGCAGGAACAGGCGCTGTAATACCATTTACACACTGCCACACTGCTAACTATTTTAATTGAATTCTAGCTACTTGGTCTTATGTAAGAGTGAAGTAAAGACTAGAAAATGAAATTGTTGAACTTGCTGTGTTAAAGTAATCTTTTCATTCAGAGGTTTCTTTTTGATACTTACACTGAGAGAAAAAGTTCCACATCCACATGAAACAACAGGCATTGCCTTAGTTTGATATATTGTAATAACGTATTTAGATTTTTTTGTAGAACAGTGTTGCCTATCGACTATCCATTGTAATATTTTACTGTCACTGTCGTTTGTGTTAATAAACCTTGGTAGTTGATGAAGTAACAGAATAATCTATCAATCACTCCTTATCTAGTTTCTTTGTTCAACTGTACACTGCAGAGAGGACAAGAGGCATAGAAGTTAATTTGTAGATTTATAAGAGTTAAATTATCAGCCAGGTTGAAAAATCAAAAACTTAAAGGTTACATGACTAGAGTCAACCAGTTATACTGAAACTTTCCTTTTGTAGAGACCAGAAAAGCCAGTTCCCAACCTGGGATCAAAATGTTAAGCGACACTAGCCTGATAAAAACGTCTCTGCCTTGTCTCTATGTTTTTCTCTCTTGACTACCCTAAATGCCACAGATTTCCTCTCACAACTTTAGTCTTCATTGTGTGGAAATTTAAACCTCTGTAATATGGGATTTCTGTATGGCTTAATGCAGACACCTCCAGGCATGGTCAGAACGACTATATCGTATGGAATACTGCAATACTGCGGTGTGGAAAGACACGGGAACCTACTGCACTATACTCCCATGAAAGCATGAATGGAATGTTGAGAAGACACTATATCCTGTCACCACACATCTGATAAAGACGCTGGATTTGAGAGAGAGAATATGGGGCCTGTGGCCAGTAACTCTGGGTTAAATGATATACTGTTGCAGCTGGACTATAAGCAATGATACATGGCCAAGAAAGGTTAAATGGTTTTATTTGCATGAAGGAAGAATAGTTACAAGAATATTTATTGCATTATTACTCAATTTTTTGTATTAAAAGTTACACTGCAAATTACTTTAACCATTAATAATTGAGACCCTTTGTTTTAGACATATCTAAATTGTGAAGTTTTGACGTAAATACGTCTATACGTAAGGATCATTCGGCATAAACAGCGTTACGAAGATGTGTAATATCCATATCAACAATGTGTAAATATGGACCGACTGGTCAGCTTTTATATGAACGTGCATTGTTGTGTTACCTAAGAAACTGCAGGATGTGAAGGCTTATCCAACCTTAAAACACTAATTTAGAATGGAATGTTAAAATACTGTTAGAACTGTTGGTATTCTCACTTTCTGAAACATTTTTAATCCTTTAATCGTATTTATTCAAATTGATAAACAAAACAGATTTGGATTTCGCGGTATATGTTCGGGCGACGTCACAAGCATGTTGGCCCGTCAGGTTGGTTAACATGAAGTTTCTATAATACAGGACTGGAAACATTCAGTTTGTAAGTGACAGTGTATCAAAATGGCGCTGAAAGCATTAGTTGGGCAGAGTAAGTTCCTTGATTATTTATTAATAATTTTTGTCGCTTGTTCTTTTTACTCGCGGTAGCTGCAGCAAAATCACAAGAAATTCTTGATTATACCGATTTGGAAAGTTCTTGATATACATTAACTTATTTAGTTCATAAAATTACACAAGTGGAGGCGTTGGTCTGTGTTGACTATAGTGTATAGAAATCATTGGTTACACATTATAAAATCAATCCCTAGGTGACAAAATTAATTTATGGCAATAAACTGTGCAAAATGAAAGAGAACGAGAGGCACATAACTAATAACGATGTTCAGTATTGCAAGTCTTTCAATCGTAACTGTTTTGGTTGCTATGGTGTGAGTAATGTATTGATTTGTTGTAAGCGTACTATGTAAAAGGAGGTATATGGTTATTGAATGGCAATGCATTACCCTCGTTTCAACAAATAAATAATATATTCCACAGTTTTGTTCGTGTGCTAAGTCACGTTGGAGTTCATGTTCGTCAGGTGTAAGATACTTGTGCATGTATATGCAAATTTTCGTTCACGTTTGTCACTATGTCAAATGAAATCATATTTTCACCCATTCATAAAGATGGTAGGCTCGGACACTTTTACATTGAAAGTTTAATTTGATATTTAATAATGAACATTTTCACAACTAGAAAATTTCAGGTAACACTTGGAGGTTTTGAAGAAATGTTAATGTATTCATTTTCAGTTAATATTGAAAGTGTTTTACAAAACCTGAATTGAAAATACTTTTTAGACACCCATTTCTGGAAAGCAGTCGACATAAATCCAGTTACATACATACTGCTACGGTTTGTCGTAGTCATCTCGCATGTCATTTCAATTGTGTTTGAATTAATTAATAAGCGAATCATATTTATGTTCATATTATTTTTGTTTTGGACATGCAGCGCCAATTAGTTTGATTATTTTACGATTATCTTGAATTTGCCGATGTCGGGATGCGGGTTACATGACGCCTACATCAGATCGATATTATGTCAGGGGCAGCGGTTGGCAACCCGCCAGATTTTGAGAAATGACGTCATTCGGACGTTACCGTGATGATCAATAAATAAATAGTACATAGTCTGTCTCCAGCCCACGAAGGTAAATAAATATCAGTGATGACGCATTGTTGGAGAAATGACGTATGACTCAGAGGTACGAACCTGATATCTGAATGAAATACTGATAATTACATCCAGAAGTCCACCAAGGATTTCACATGCATTGGACATGTACTATAAAATTAAATTACATTTGTGTTTGATTATTAAGTTACTGAAAAATTAGGTGATGCCATATCTTGAGCATTCTGTGCACCATCTTTCTAAGACATGCAAGAATCACCATTTTCCCTCAGTTTTAGAGGTGACAATCTTTTATTATGGATGCCACAAGTCCTTGAAATTAATGTGAAAGAATGGCACTAATCCGCATATTTGTTTTTGAGAAATAAAGAAAATTCTGGGTCAAATTTGAACTGTTCCCAACATTATTGTTAGTAGCTTCTAATAATACACCAGACAGTATTGAAAGTCGGTGCAGTCAACATATCTAGTGAGACAAAAAGTTCACCCTCATATTCAGGCAAATATTGTGGATTTCAGAACATGGTCATGCAAACATGTTAGAGTCATGCACACAGTGAAAATTCAAGTGGGGTTTATCAGAATCTGTGACATTGTTATACTGACCAAACCACTGATGGGTTAATCAGACATTAAAGGCTGGATGAGTAAATATTGCTAAAACTAATATCTCCTTTAAAAACTTTTCATATTCTAGTGTGTTTTCTTCTTATAACATAACATTGTGTTTTTTTAAATAGAGATAATGAATGAGGCAATAAAAAATAAGAGAAAGCCAGGACAAGGCATGGAATGGCGTGTATTGGTGGTGGATCAGCTGGCAATGAGGATGGTATCAGCCTGTTGCAAGATGCATGATATTTCAGCAGAGGGCATCACCAGTAAGTAGCTCATTTTAACCCTTTGAAGCTGACACACACCTAAATAATGTTTAAGAATTTAGTCTATACTGTAAAGAAAACAGCCATGTAAGGAAATAATAACTACTTACACCGAGAATCAAACAAGACCCATAAATACAAAATGTGCAGTTACTGGTTTTAAAGCAGGTGGTGCATATAATTCACCTAAGCTTTAAAGGGTTAAATAACTTATGCTATGGAGTAGAGTCCTTCCTGACAAGCTAACAGTCACTTAGCAGTCAAAGTTCCTGTCTGTTATGGAACCAGGGGATTCATGATCATCTTCTCTAGAGACTCCTAATGGGCACCAACCTAAGTGAATCTAATCTCACACCATATTCATTTTAATAATATAACTAAACTACTTTTATTGAGAGACCATTGAATTGCCAGGTCAGAGATGAAGCCTCTAACTTAGGACAGAAGTTAGGGCTATCACACATCTCATAGGGCTGTGATGCATGTGTGTGGAGCAATGGGGGAATGATAATTAACAGGGGAAAACTAAGGAACTCAAGAGTAAGACAAAAATGAGATAAATATGAAAGGTACAGCGACATATCTTAATGTGTATCCTGTGTCTGGGTGTGGCACATGTAGGAATATCCTGTAATACAGTGGACACAATAACTCTTAGCATCAGCTGTCACTGAAAGAGGGGAAGGAAAGATGTAAAAGGGTAGGGGGCAGTGGGTTGGCAAAGAGTCTGAGCATGTTTAGTATAATTGGAAACATTTTTTCTCCTTTTAACAAAATTGGTGGCATTTTCATACACAGACTTTTGTTATTGTTTGTGTGTGTATAGTTGTTGAAGACATCCACAAAAAAAGAGAACCTCTGTCAACAATGGAAGCAGTCTACCTCATCACTCCATGTGACAGCTCAGTTAAGGCACTCATGGCTGATTTTCCCAACTCTAATCATTGTATGTACAGGGCAGCCCACGTTTACTTTACAGAAGGTAGGGTTCACATCGTTAATAACATGTTTCTTGGTTGGCTGGAAGGGTAAGTGGATGGATGAATGGATGGGTAAATGGAAGAATGGACTGCCTCTGGACTAATTGAAAAGAAATCTTTGTTGATATTGCATTTATTGATATTGTTTATTATTAAACTGTCATGAATCTTTGTGGCGTTATGTAGAAATATAATTGGAGAAAACATGTGCATAAAAATTATCTTGTACTTGAAATTATGTTGCTAGGCTTTAGTATTTCTTCTGTTAAATTTGTGATATGTATCAGATGAAAACAAAATTTTATGATGGTGTAATAATTTACCAAGATGAATCCCTGGATGTTGAACCAGTTAATTTGAGTAAAGATTTTATAAAATCCCCAAATTCCCAACCTCACGTGGCAAGTGATGGGATAATACTTTGAAACAGACCACAGCTACTTCCATGTTCTGAGTTCAGTATGTTCCAACTGTAATTTTTATTGAACATGTGTACAAGTCAAAGTCACATATACATAGGGTATGTGGTTAACAGTTTTGTTAAGCCAAGAAACCAGTAATAACCAGTGGTTAGTTTTGTTATTTGAACAGTGGAATATACTCTTCATATTCTATTTTTATTTCCTCCAAGATGAATCTTTATCATTTTCTGATCTGTGTTGTCTTCTCTTACTATCTTTTGTGTATGTTCTTTCACTTGGTCTCCCCATGCTGTTTATTCAGTATCTTCATTTCTGGAGCTTTAAAAGGAAGCCTCTTGTCATACCACTGTGTTCTTGTGTGACCAACTATTCTTCTATTGTTTCTACTTTCAGATCTTGCTTAATGTTTAATAACAGTATAGCATTTGTAAGTACCAAATCCTGTTTTTTGTAGTTTATTTTGATTCTCCAGTTGAATGATGAATTGCTACCTGATCAGTTGTCATAATGTCATGTTCTTGGGGAAGCAGCATTTATGTAATTTTCATGGATGCCTCGCATTTATGAATCCACACAAAACCATCTAGACTGGCATGCATTGTTTAAAGTATTTTATTTTTGCAGCATGTCCTGGTGAGGTATTTAACCAGCTGTGCCGATCTACTGCTGCCAAGTATCTTAAAACTGTGAAGGAAATTAACATTGCCTTTATAGCATACGAGGAGCAGGTAAAAGAGTCTGTCTTAATTTGTGAGTTGTTATGCCTTGCTGCTGCCTCTTATGGAAGGGAATATAACACCATGATCCAGCTAACACTGGCTCTGTATTCCTTCTTGGGCTCGTGTAATTCATCACTCTTACTTCATAGTTGCAAAATTACACTTTTATCCTGAATTATGGAATGCCAGATTCCTCACTTAATGGACTCCAACAGATGCAAAGAAAATCTAGTCCAACAAAAATTACTATTTTGAATAGTGACACTTTTTAATAATAAATTAAATTCTGTAATGGTACAGATGATAACTTTATATTTATGTTAGAGGATGATGATAATATTATATATTCAAATCTAAGTTCAGTTTTATGAACAGATTTTAACCTGTATCATACAGAAAGAGGGAATTTAAATCTCTATACAATGGGGCTGCCAGCTGGATTTTAACTCCAAAGTTCGATCCCCGACGGAGGCAGAGGATTTCTCCCCTAGCCTCTGCGTCCAGATCGGCTCTGGGGCCCACCCAGCCTCCTCTCCAATGGATAACAGGGTCCTTTCCCAGGGGTAAAGCACAGCCGGGGCGTGATGCTGACCACTCACCCCCATCTAGTGCTGAGGTCAAGAATGAGTAGGAGCTATACCTTCACTCCCCCCAAGCGCCTACATGGCATATAGTGGGACAGCTTTACTACTATTACTAGTTAATAGTTTAGTGGTATATTACTGCAACACACAACCAGCCAGATGGTGTGTTAAGCCGTGGCACGTACATAATAAAAGTTAATGAATGAATAAAGAGAAATATGGGAATGGAACTAAATAGAAGACTGCCAAAATAAGGGTGGAATAATTTTGCAACAACGTGAGAGGTAAACTAGGGTTTAACTGGTGGTCTGCAGGTTTATGTCAGTCCACAAGTTCTCATTTGTGTTGTTCTATTTTACCAAAGTGGAAATTATTTTACAAGTTATCTTTTTTCAAATCTTCATTTTGTTCTAGTGACTAAATAGTTGTGCCCTTCATCTCAAACAATTCAAAATTTCATATTGATGTTAATTTAAAGCTCCGACTGTGGACATGAAATCAGGTTAAACTGCAGTTAACTCTTGGTTTTCCTGTCCGTCACTTTTCCCCACGCTCTGTTCACTGTGCACCTGTCATTTTAATTTGCCGTTGGTTGTAAGTAAGGGAATGTGCCATTTGGGTACTGCTAATAATATGCAGTACTTGTGGGAAGAACTTTAGTCGTTTGCTTTCCTTAAAATGCTTCGTTCATATTGTGAGGTTATCAGGCAGTGTAAATTAACAATTACCAAAATAATTATCCATGTATGTGCATTCTTTCCACTAGACAGACTTCCAGTATATTAAATGTATTAATTAAATTAAAATTAAATCCGTGGCGTAACAGCTCCAGAGAGCCAAAGCCGACTAGCTTGACTGCTGGCCTCACGTTCACATGCCTAAGCAGAGGTGAATGATCATCCAACCAGATATAGGGTGACGTGTGGTCAGCACGACGA